TAGCACCCTCTTGAAATCACAAGAAGTGGAAAAGGGCTGATTCTCCCAAGAGAGGAAGACTAGACAGATACAAGACCTTGTTTTAAACTCTAATATTGCCGGGGGCGGTGGCTCATGCCTGTAATCCCAGCACTTTGGGAGGCTGAGGCGGGTGGATCACGAGGTCAAGAGATCGAGACCATCCTGGTCAACATGGTAAAACCCCGTCTCTACTAAAAAATACAAAAAACTAGCTGGGCATGGTGGTGCGTGCCTGTAATCCCAGCTACTCAGGAGGCTAAGGCAGGAGAATTGCCTGAACCCAGAAGGCGGAGGTTGCGGTGAGCCGAGATCGTGCATTGCACTCACTCCAGCCTGGGTAACAAGAGCAAAGCTCTGTCTAAAAAAAAAAAAAAAAAAACACCTCTAATAGCTCTCTATTTTAAAAAAATTGGCTTTGCATTTTTATGAAAATGGGAGTCCATTGAGTCTTAAACACTATTTTAAACACTAATAACACTATCTTAAACACTAATATAAACATGTTTATTGTGTTGTTGGGAGTGATGCCACATTTCAGGGGAAACATGGCAAAGCAATTGCCTTAGGCATTGTATTTTTTTCCCCCCAGAAAGACAACCATTCATTTTGGATATTTGGTGTGTTGGGATTTTATGATAGTTTGGCTGAGATTTTCCAAAATGCTGTCCTCTGGACACGACCAGTTATCCTTTCCTGCTGAGAAGCAAAAACCATCTGAAGTCTCCCATCAGCACTCTGTTTGTCCTTCATGGTACTTGTCATGATTTATAATTATTATTAATTATTATTTATAATAAATAATCTAGTCATTTGAAGCATCTGTTCCCATCACTAAACCAAAATATTTATGAGAACTTGACTGTACAGTGGTACTGTGGGTACAGTGGCTCATTCTTGTAATCCTAGTACTTTGAGAGGCTGAGGTTGGAAGATCATTTGAGCCCAGGAGTTCGAGACTAGCCAACATAGCGAGACCTCATTGCTACAAAAAGTTAAAATGTTAGCTTGTCAGGGCAGTAAATGCTTGTAGTCCTAGTAACTCGGGAGGCTGAAGCAGGAGAATTGCGTAAGCCTAGGAGTTTGAAGTTACAGTGAGCTATGACTGCATTGTTGTACAACAGCCTGGATGACAGAGTAGGACCTTGCCTCTAAAAAAAAAAAGAAAGTAAAGAAAAAAAAACTAAAATAAAATAAAAAGTAAAAAGGAACAATAAAAACATTTACTAGAACTTATTGTAAAGCAAAGTTTCTCAGCCTCATCACTGCTGAAATTTTGGACTGGATAATAGGAGGTTATAGGGGGTTATCCTGTGCATTCATCAGCACTGCAGAATGTTTAGCAGCATCCTTGGCCTCTTCTCACTAGAGGCCAGTAGTACTCTTCAGCTGTGACCACTGAAAAAGGTGTCCAGATATTCCCTTGGGGGAAAATCATCCATAGTTGAGAACCACTGTTATAACAGAATGCATGAATGAATGAATAAATGAATGAGTAAATGAATGAACAGATTCATTCAGAAATACAACAGATTTCCAAATCCTTGAATGATATGAAGTGTTTTTCTTTTTTTGGTTCATTTGTTTATTCTCTGTTCACCAGACATTGAGGGCCTGCTATGGGAAGAGGTCGGAGTGCTGCTTAATAGCCTGCAATGCTCAGGGGTCCTGTGCTAGGCATTATGGGTTAAGGCTGAAGAAAATAGAAATTATTCTCAGCTTATTGTGCTCTGGAAAGGAGGGCAGTTTGAGCAGCAGATTTTAGATCAAGCTTACCCTGCCTGCAATACATCCCTGGTTCTTCCCTCCTTTGCTGCCTCTTAATTATCCTTTACAACTGTTTCAGCAGAGAGGGTCCAGAACTAGGGTCCTCTCCCCACACAGCTCTCTTAAAGCATCTTACATCGGTCATTTGGCTTTTACATCTAGCATGTTATTGATGTTTTATAAATCCTTTCAATATGTCTGGATTTCCTAAATAAATGTCTCAAAGAAGTTTATTGGAAGGAAAAAAAGTCCTTAGACAAGACTATAGTTCCAATCCTACTTCTGCCGTCAGTTTAGCTTTCTGACCTGGGCGGGATGCCTAATTGTTGAGGCTTCATCTATAACATGGAAATGGTTTTGCCTGTTGTACAGCTACTTTCCAAAGATATTGAGAGTGTTAAATAAAACAATGGATATAAGTGTATTTTCTACATTCAAAAGCACTATGCAAGTGTAATATGTGGGCACTATCACATTGAGAATAATAATAACAAACTTCTTGAGGCAGAGACTGTATTTTCTACGTCTTTGTATCTCTAGAACCTGCCATATGGCTCCATATCCGTAGTAAGCTCCACAAATGATAGTTGGTGATGCTGATGGTGTCTTGTGAAGTGTGGATTTCATTCATTATATAAACTTCTTATCTCTGATTATACACTAGTCAGTCAATAAGTAGTTGTAGAGTCAAATTGAATTTCAGATAATCATCCAAGAAATCTGTATTATTGCTCATGCATATGTATGCTGGCACCTTCCAAAGCTATGAGTTGTAAATATTCTATATGAAACATATTTTAAGGATCTAATGGTATCTTATGAATTTTTATTGAGAACTTTAAAGAATATTTTATTTCATACAGGAACACATTAAATAAGGAAGAAATTCTGGTAAGATTTCACTACGAAGTATATTAAGATTAAAAGTAATGTATTTTCAGCACTTGGATAGATTCTTTTCTTTTTTGGTTTTATTCTGAAAGAAACTGACACATCGTCTAGAATATAGTAAGAAATTCATCTATCTAAAATACTCATTTTTCCCAGCTATTGCCTGAGTGTAAAAATTATTTTAACTAATGTGTAAATTAAATTGACTAAAATTTGTTATTGCAAAACTCACAGTTGGTTTTGCCTTCGTGATATTGGCCTATTTCGTGGTAGTGCTAAAACTGAACACCATAGTAACAAATTTGTTTTACTAACAATATTGAGCGAACACAAATAAGACATTAAGCAAGCCCATGCATTAACTGAGGTGACCTTTCTTGAAAAATAAATACTAAGGAAATATTTTAAGGGAGTTCCTTTTTGTTTTCTTAACTTAGGGTTCACTTCCAGTCAAATATTGCTTTTGTTTAAAAAGAATTAGGTTAATACCTGTTAAATGTGGTAGTAAAGTTTTACTACATATAATTAAGTTGTAAAATTAAATGGACTTTATGGATATAATCTCCAATACAAGCTTTTATATATTTTAATGAAAAATAACTGACTAGCCCATGGTACTAAATACTATACTAGTTACAAAGCTTTGAAAACATTTAGTTTGTTTTTCTAAAATGAGGTTTTGTTAAAGTCCGTGAAAAGAGTGATGGATGTTGTATTTAATTAGTATAGCACTGAACTTTTTCTTTATATAAATTCAGATTCAGAGGACAGTTACTGACTGTTTTCTGTGGGCCAAATATTATATTATATGTATTATATTAGCTTCTTCCTCATATATGGTCATTTAATCTTCAAACAATCCAACAAAGTCGTCTTCAGTAGAGAGAAGAAGAATCTAAAGCATTTGAATGGAGTAACTGGTCCACAGTTGCAAAGTTTAAAAAGTTCCAAAGCTACAATTCAGATTTTTTATTGTGAGGCCAATATTCTTACCAGCACATTTATTCAGGATGCTGTGAAATTAGATGCCATCATGGTAGTATTATAACCTTTCCCAAGTCTAATGTGCTAAGAACTACTGACCTCAGGCAGGACCGATAGACATGTCTAGAATCTCTAAAGTTTCCCTGAATTTGACAAAACAATGATTGCTTATGGTATGCCTGTTTGAGAATGTTTATTTGGTTACTCTTTATTTCAATATGGTGGGATGAACTTGAGATTTTTATTAATTAAAATTGGTGATTTGCTTCTTGAGTTATCATGCAGAGGACAAATATAACATACTCAGTGGTTAGATTGAAACCAAAGCTTCACTTCATTCAATGATTATTTTATTCATCCATATGCTTCTGTTTACAGATGAAAATTCATCAAAAGGCTAATTTAAGGAGGCATTTCCATAAGACTAAACCTACTTTGTTTTCAGACATGAGTGAATTTTTATTTATTTATTTTCGTAGTAACCAACAGTGCTTTGTTTATTTGTTGAAACTGGCTGAGTCTGGAGTATAAAATATGCTGGGAGCTCTTAGACAGGGCTAGGAAATGGTGGGGGGGGATAGTTAGGACAGAATGATTGGCCAGCTCTAGGATGATACCACATTTTAAACCCAAGGGAGCTGGCAAAGTCTCGTCCAATTCAATTAGATCTAAGGGATCGGTGCTGCTGACAGAGCTTCTTGGCCAAGGCAAGTCTCAGAATCTAGTGGGTGTCCTAGTGGATTAGGGGAGGTTATAATAATAATAAGTATTACTAATTACTTACCTAACCTCCATTCTTTCTTTCTTCCTTAAAAATGGTGGTAGAGGCCAGGTGTGGTGGCTCATGCCTGTAACCCCAACAGTTTGAGAGGCTGAGGGAGGGGGATCACTTGAGCCCAAGAGTTCAAGGCCAGCCTGAGCAGCAAGGCAAAACCCCATCTCTACAAAAAATAAAAAATTAGCTGAGTATGGTAGCATGCACCTGTAGCCCCAGCAACTTGGGAGGCTGAGGTGGGTGGATCACTTGAGCCTGGGAGGTCAAAGCTGCAATGAGCCATATCTTGCCATTGCACTCTATCCTGGGCAACAGAGTGAGACTCCAGCTTAAAAAATAATGGTGGCAGAAATTGATATTTATCTCCAATGTGCATTTCCCCTTCTTCCAAAAGTAGAATTCCCCAATATTAGCTGGGTACATGGTCACCTTGAGTTTATTTCTCAGCCTCCCTTGCAGCTAGGAGCAGCCATGTGATTAAAAGCTAGTTAATGGAATGCAAGCATAGTGAGACATGACATCTTTAGGAATTATATTTAATATCTCCTGACTTTCTTTCTTACAGCTCTTTGGATTGTACGTGTGACAACTGGGCAGGAGAAACCATTAATGATCATGAAGTGGAAGTCCATGATGAGGATGGTAAACCATAAGGTGGAAGGAGTCTGAGACCCTGGTAATTATGGAGCCTCCAAACCAACCCTAGACCACCTACATTAATGTGAACTTAATCCTAATTAATTCTAATTAAAACCCTTATATTATTGGGAGTGGCAGTGTATCCAACAACAGAACTATATTCCCCAGCCTTCCTTGAAGCTGTGCATGGCAGTGTCTGAGTTCTGGTCATTGAAATAAAGTAGAAATTGTGCAGAATTCTGAAAAGACTTCTTAGAAGGGATGTAACAGTTGAAGACAGTCTCCTGTGACTTTTTTGCTGCTTCTTTTCTGCTGTCTTAAATGTGGATGTGATGATTGGCACTCCAACAGCAATTTTGGACCATGAGAGTCCTCAAGGAGCAGAAAGATAGGAGGAGGCTGAGTTCCTTGACGACTTTGTGAATCCAACTTACCAGTATGGGACCACTTACTTTTGAACTTCTTTTACACAAAGAAACAAATATTTTGGTATTTAAGCCACTATATTCTGGGTTTTCTATTAACCTCTCTGTTACAGAGGTTTATCAGAATTGACCAGAAGGCACAGGAAATATGAATCAGTCCCAGAGAACTGGGACATGGGGCTTGTTGTCTAGTCTAGTTGGGAAATTAGAGTGAAAGTTGCAACCAGAATTCTGGCAGACTAGTCAGGTTCAATGTTGGAACTCCAGCCCAATGCATGGGTGTGAACCATCTGGGTCCCAATCACTGATGGGGAAGAAGCAGCTATTGTGCTGTCAGGCCAGGTACTCCTTGTACAGGGCACAACTGACCTTGCCAGGGCCAGACATGGGTTGAGCAGAGGCAGAGGCAGGCAGAGTTGACGTAGCCCATGCCAGTTTCAGACACTGTGAAGGCAGAACTATTCTGCTGTGCCTTTCTTTCTCTTCTTGGGGCTCTCTGTAAGCAGCTGGCGGACTCTAACATCCAGGCTTGTGAGAATCAGCTCTGCTCCTCTCTCTGTCATGTGTGGGCCAGCTGCATCCCCACTGGTCCTCATTTCCCCTGCACTGAGCTCATTTACTCCCTGGGGATTAATTTGACTGTGAATACTGGACTCTGAAGTGTGGGAAAACTGGAGACACAAACAACAGAAGCCTCAGTGCTACAGGGGAAGAGAGTAGCATCTTTTCCTCAGCTAGCATCACGTGAGACCCGGCAGGCCGTTTTGTTGCTGGTGACATCTCATAATCAGAGACACTTCTAGGCAGTGACTCAGGGAGCCAGCCTGCTGCTGAGCAAAGAGGAGGCAGGTCTGAGAGCTGGAGTTCAGAGAAACTTAGGACCATATGAGAATGATCGGTCCACAGCTCTTAGAATCAAACAGGTAAGGTGAGTGGAGGCACACTGTGAAGCAGAAAACACCATGAAGATTATTGTCATTTTATTAATGAAGACAGTAACAACACAAGCAATTCTCTTCCTCATCATTACTGAGAAGATGCCTCTTGTTAATTTCTTTCCATCAAAGCTGCCCTTGGTATTCATTGTAAACAAAATTCTTGTAGACTTGTTTTAAAATTGGGGGACAAAGGTATTTAGATTGATTTGCCTCAAAATCCCTACCTTTCCCAGGATGACCTATTCAGAATGCTATTGCTAATGTAAGCAACAACTCAGTATACCTTCAAAATTAACCATGCTAATGACGGTATATACTAATTGTCTATAGTACATAGTAATCCCGTGCTTCATGTACATGCTAACCCCTCTTACTATTATTTACCCCATATCTAAAAGTCTCTTCTACTGTTTATATATGTTATGTGAAGAAATAGAGATAGAATAATTTTGGAAAACACTGGGTTAAACAAAGTTGAGCTGAAAAATTGTTACTGAGTGTGCAAGGACAAGGGAGGGAGGAGAGCTGCCTACTGTGTGAGTTCTGAAGTGAGAGTTTTCATTGCTTCCTGGAATTTGGTAAGGTGGATAATTATTTTCTCTGCTTCCATTGTTTGGGGAACAGGCCTCTAACCTAGGCATGTCTCTTCAAATACTTTCTCCTGAAATGGTTCATCGGGGGAATGTCACAAAGGTACAGGGAGAGATGAGATGACCTGCAGAGGCCCTGGCCATGCCCGAGCCAGGTGGTTTCAGTGACGCTCTTGGTTTTCCAGCCTTCTCACCTATTCTGGAAGTTACCTCCAATCCTCTCTGTGGTTCCCTTTTTTCTTAGGTTAGGTAGCATTCGTCTGGCTGCCTACAGCCAAATACATTGATTCATGCAGAACTGAAGTTCCTTACTGCTCAACTCTCAGAACCTTTAATATACCAGTTTGCATATTAAAGTTCATAATTCTCCAAAACAGGGATCAAGAACATGGCATTTTCTAAAAGCATTTGATCCTGAAGTCCTGCCTCCACACTCACCTCCACCTCCCGATGGACCCCCAACTTCTGGCTTTTTTTTTTTGAGACAGGGTCTCACTCTGTCACCCAGGCTGGAGTGCGGTGGTGTGATCTCAGCTCACTGCAACTTCCGTCTCCCAGGCTCAAGTGATTCTCCTGTCTCCACCTCCCGAGTAGCTGGGATTACACTACCGCCCAGCTAATTTTTGTATTTTTAGTAGAGATGGGGTTTCATCATGTTGACCAGGCTGGTCTTAAACTCCTGACCTCAAAGGATTCACCCGCCTCAGCCTCCCAAAGTGCTAGGATTATAGGCATGAGCCACTGCGCCCAGCCCCCTCAACTTCTCTTAGCGTTAGTCTTCTGCTGAACCACTGAACACATTGGGGGAAATGCTGATTTAGTGAGTCACTGATTAGTTAATCAGAAAACATCTTGGTGGTACAGAAGATTTCATTTAACTCAAAAAGGTAAATAATTTTCTTACTGCTTGTAATAAATCCAGGATCATAATAGATTATGTTCTTATGATGGATTTGTAGTGAATGCTTCTCTCAAAGGCCATCAGTGGCTTTACTCTCACACATTGTCTCATATCTATCCTCTATTCTGGCCATGAGATCCCAAGACTATTATGGATGCTTGTGGAGCAATTTGTAGAAGCCAAAATACATCTTATTTTTGCCTGACCCGTTACATCTGCTAATGACTTAGGTCAACTGGGTAAGCAATGTGGTCATTCATAATTAATTTTGCTGTTCATTATAGCCAATTATTTTAACTGCTGGATCATTTGTATTTTTATACAATCTGCAGTCTTCCAGGAACATACACAAGCTTAATGGGATTGTATAATGTGCAATCCCTGATCCATGATTAACATGCTGTTTAATGAGTACAATTTTAAGAAAGCTTAAAACTTTAGGTCCCTGGCTTCTTTTACAAAACCAGGCCCTGGAATGAAAAGCCTGCCACAGTAATAAACTTTGAATGCTTTAAATGGAAGGTTATTCTTACATAAATGAGATTCTTCTTGCAAGCTAGGAACATCCCACCCTTACATAGCCATCCAGAGATGCCATTGAGCAAGGCCAGCACTGGGAAACACAGTCATAATGCCAAGTTTTGGCTTACAATCCTGGACATTCTGATTCAGTAGGTCCAGGATGCATGAGGCATGAGCTCTTATAAAAAAGGTACCAGGAAATTCTGACACAGAGGTTTATGGTTTGCCCTTTTGGAAATACTTTTTTTTTTTTTTTTTTGCTGTTTCTTAAGTGTGCAAGGAACTGGCTCCTCCAGCTGGGAAAACTGAAGGCCAAGTGATTGTTCAAGGACTCCTTAGCACCAACTAGTTTCTCTGGAGAAGGATATGGGTTTGCTAAAGCCGGATTTGGTTCAAGAACCAGGAGATTCCAATACTTATAAACATATCCTTAATGCAAGCACATAGATGTTTAGTTTAAGTTTGTCTAGAATGGAAAGTTTGTCTGGAATCTTGGGGATGGAAGGCTGTGGTATAGCAAAAACTGAGCTTTCTAGGTTTCATTAGAGCTTACTTTATGTTGATGCTGTCTCCAACAGCTAGCCATGTCTCCCTTTGAGCAGTTCCAGGAACCATGAGAAGCTATACTGAAATATGTTGTATCTGCTTCTGTCTGTGTGGCTGTCATACTTCCAATAAGTTTCTTTATCTTGGCTAGGTACACTGAGCACTTGATCCAATGTGAAAGACTAGTATATGTGTGTGAGCCCGAAATACTGGGGAGTGAAATGATGGACTGCTTTTATCTTACTCTAGTTCTTGACCCCTCCCATTGAAGTGCCAAGAGAAGGATGATGGTTAGTAACAAGCATCATTTATGCAATCTTATAACAATTTCTGAGTATTTGGCTTTGTTTCTTACTGGTAAGTCTGGATAGTTACTTAACTTTTGCAGTTTTCTCAGCTAAAAACATAACCAAATAATGGTGCTCTCCTTTCAGGGCTGTTAGTAGGACTAAATGTGTAAAGCATGGAAAGTATTTAACATGCTTCCTGTCTTAAAATATGTTGGCCATCTCTCTTCTTCCTTTACCTCTTCTATCTCCTTCTCTCTGGATTTCCCTTCCCTCCTCATTTCCTGACTCCTTCTCCTAAGTGACAGGCAGCTCTGTAATTTCTATTTAGGAAGAAGGTTTGGGTTATGTAATCAGGTTGGAAGATGAAGAGGAATGAACTAGGGAAACGATCTTAAGGTTGAGTTTGCCAAGTACAGTTTTCCCTGGGATTGTATGTTTATTCGGGTTGGCTTAGGATGAGACACTGCAACGCCCGCAAGACATCCCTTGGCACCACCAGGTACTATGCCAGGGACCTTGGGAGACACAAAGGTTTTGGAGACACTCTTTTTCCTTAATGAGTATGGCCTAGGGAGATATTTGTGATTTGGTTGGCTACTCAGTACATAAGACAATTTATATTACTTATGTTAAAACAGAGGTACCCATGACCATGGAAGCACAGAGAAAGGAGCAATGAATTCTTGAACAATCTATTATCTCCATATTCAGAATCAGAAAAAAAAAGATCTGACTGTCTTCTAAAAATAGCAATACATTCATATGCATATTGCATCAGGTAGATGATTAGGGAGTATATAAGCAAAGGCAATACTGTATGGATCA